GTTTCAAATCGAATGCAAGAAAATTGAGAATTTATCTACAAATCAAACTACAATACTAAGAAACAGTTTTGTTAAAACAGGTGCAAATATAATTATTTGATACAGTCTGTAGTCAATATAACTAAATATTTAATCTAAAGGCAAAGTACAGTAGTTATCATAAAAGAATTGAATTTCTTTGAAACACTATTAACCAGTTAATCAAATACTGAATCCATGACCAAGGTTTACTTAGAAACAAGGCTGCAAACCAGTTCCTAAAACAGAATGAATGAGGGCATGTATCTAGGAATAAGGAAATTTGAGATATAAATAATTCTCTTATCATTGCCAAGATAAGGACTGTGTCGCAACTGCGTTTCAACTCTGGTGGCTGACATCGCATTAATATTCTACACCAACGATTTTGGAAACGATTTGGCCCGTGACCAGTAGGCAACTTGAGGCATGATTCACAATCCATGGTGGTAGGCATTTGTTAAACTCATTAAATAAAAAAAAATAAGCTGTGTTCTAATGGAGAAGGCAGTTTGGCGCACAAATTTTCATTCAAGTTCTGAACCTTGTTGCCGAGGATTCAAACCACACGCTGACCATTCTTGGCCGGCCATGCTTAATTACCTCAGCTTGCACTGTTGACGGGTTTTGAAGTGGCTCACTTCATGTTTCAGCCCTAGGTAGAAATATTTCATGGCTTATAAATTAAATATTGTGGCCGCCTCTTGTCAATATTGAGATGATCCTTATCAATTATTTGACCTCAACTTCCATGATTTTTCCGGAATTCAGCATAATCAGTATCAGGCCTGACATACAGAGATTTTTTAAAAATATGTCTATTGGGAATTATCAGGGATGTTAATGCTCATTAATATAGTATTAATAGATTTAATGAAAATTAAATAAGTTACATGAAAAAGAAATCTTGTTTTGTTGACTTAGATAATAGTATATGAGGATATAGCCAAAATATTGAGAAATTAAAAACAAAAACCGAATTAATACAACCTTAAAGGTTTATTACTCTATTATTATAAACTCTGTATACAATTACAATGGTTTTGGGATTTGTTCAAGAAATGATTATATCTCTTTGACCTTGAGTCATGTCTACTAGCTAGGTTGAATTACGATAAATTTGGTCACTATATGATTTGCAGCGAAAAAATAATTACCCAGGAAGAGTAGTTCTTTGGCACAATAAATGGTGTATTTCCAAGAAACCATTTTTTTTAATAGCCAGTAAAAACACACCCTAAAGCGATCCTAAAGCTAGGTCAGAATGAGGGTTTCTTGGAAACAAGGCTGCCAATCAGTTCTTAAAATCAGACCTGTGTGAGCTAGTCAGTGGTGGTTCTAATATAGCAAATACCATTCATTCAAGGGGAAACCTGTCTGACAAAGGGCCTAAATTTCAAGATGGCAAACAGGTGTCTGCAGTGCCCCAGTTCAGGAAAACCCTTCTAGGTGCCCAGTACAACACTATTTCACTTTACAGTATTTTCCCATTGACTTGGAGCATGCTCACAGATATGTAAAACAGGTGGCGATTACATGTGCACAGCACGCCACAGAGCGAGCCAGTCAATGTTAAGGAGAATGTTTAATGACATGACATTTCTTTGGTAATGTAAGAAGCATCATTAAAATATTACATTTCCAAATAATAATTTACATAATAATAGCCAGCTAAAAAGTGTCAACAGTCTGTTGTGGAATGCTGCCCTCATGCTGCCCTAATGCTCCTGATTGGAAATAGACAAACACAGATAATGTGACAATGCTTTCAATTTCACAGATTTTGATTGGAAAATACAGATTTCAATGAAATAAGAATGTTAACAAATTTCTGAAATAGAATGTTTAAAAGCATGTCAGAAGAAGGTTCAGTTTGAAAAATAAGGCTAAATGTAAAGGTAGGAGAATGACCAATAAACTTGCAGTGTCATTGTGCTGAATAGCCTGGGACTACCGTAGCAGCCACGGACAGGAACTTAGTAGCTTCATCTTTACATCATTTCACAATGACAGGAACTGAAATGCGCTAGAGCCTACTCTTCTTAACCAGCAGTGATGTTTTATGGCTGTAGGTTGCAGTTCCCCCTGCCCTAACCACTGAGCCATTCAATACTGTATCATTGCAGAAGTTTCATTTAAAAAATTAGGTTTTTAACTTTTTAAGTAAGGTTGTGAACCCTATGTAACATTCACATCATTTAAATTGACCTTTGTACAAAAAACTTATGTGGCATAAATAACCATAGTGTTATCAGAACAACACTAAGCAAATAAACCTACCACTTACGTGCATACTTGTATGCTGTAAGCAAAGATACTTAGTGCAACAGAGGAAATAAACCTGGTACTTAGGTGCATACTACATCAACCAGTGCTTTAGGACAAATGAGAATATTATAAACACATACTGTAGTTGTATTCTTGAGCACCAATGCTCATAAAAAGAGGGCATAATAAGCTTCCCATTATAGGTGAATGCTGTGTGCAGTAATACTCGGAATGAAGAATCATGTGTAAAGTATTAATAATATTTAGGGAGTATCGTGCTTGCTGAGAAATGTAAGCATCACACATTGACAAAATAACCTAACCCACTGACTGCTACTCTAATAGAGAAATTGTTATATAGAAGAAAAAAATAAAAATGAAAACAACACTTACTGAGATCAAGTTTAGCCCCAGTTAATATGAGTTCCTGTTTCTCAGTCAAGGGTAGTTGTGTCTCCGGTAGTTTCCTCAACTTTAAGGAATGATTCCGTAGCAAAATAAATACACGTATTGCCTGCAATTAACCAAAAAATATTAATATTTGGAGTTGGAAAATGTTATCATATTTTCTACTATTAAATATTATATTAACAGTATGTAAATATAACAAATTGTGTAATTATTAATAGTCACAAAAACTACTATTAGATCTTGAGTGATATCAAAGAAGTATCAAAATGAATGCCTTGCCTGAAGGAAAAGTGTGAATTTGAAAAACAATGAACTTCGCATAATTAACACTATCAATTTATGTTTTGAGATGTAATATTACTGTTTGATGAATCTTGAATATATACAAATATTTATTGGGTTGAGGGGTATAGTTCAAAACTTAGCCTGAGGTGATATGGAAGCTGTACTATGTACCGAGACGAAGTCAAGCATCCTCCAGATCACCAACAGAGCTTATATTTTGAACTATGACCCAATTAAATCCCAGTAAATATTTTGTTTTATATACTACTACATAGATGTAGGCATTAGAGTAAATGGCTGAAAATATTGCCCAGCTTTTAACCAATAAATGCCTGGAATCTATGTAGTTTTATATAATAATGTTTATTTGAATATGGAAAGATGTTGTGTGAGGATAAGTTTACAAATTGTGTACTATTATACTTAATAATACAACTAACTGATCAAAGTATGTCATCTGGTTTCAATTTGTTATTGCAGAAAAACAATTGTTTGTAAAGAAGTATCCTGCTATGATGACATCAGGCACATCTAGCTGCAATAAACAACCATGCAGGAAAAAATGGAAAAAATCGTCCAAAAGTCGTAAGTACTTAACAACTAAAAAATATTAGACCAATAATGGTGTAAATAATAATTGTTATATTCTTGACTTACTCTTCTAGACCTCTCGAGTTCTCCAGAAGGCAGTCTTTTGATGAAGTCGATACCTGTCATTGGTGTTGCAGTAGGAGGAAGCAGTAAAGATGAGTCCATCGTCAGGTATTCCACATTCAAAGGACGAGACTGACAGAAATAAAAACAATATTTTTAGTTGTGTCCTGTCTGTTTATTATCTGATAAAATTTTATAGTTAGTCTCAAGAGTATTCACAGTAACCTTCGAGGGCATTACAATTGGCCAGCTTCCTACATCAACCAACTGCCACATGCATTAAACATGGCAACCACACAGGTATACTTACTTTCATACTCTGGTACTCATCCTCAAACATATCCAAAAACAATTCATCCCCTTTGTAAAAATTCCTTAACATCAGGTTGCTTTCTTCTTTTGCACCCTGAAACAAAAACAGACAACAAATCATATGATTTTACTATTTTCCACCTTCTTGCTCTACCTATCTCTTTCTCTCTTACTTCTTTCTCCCTCTCCATTCTTAATTATTGCTTTCTCTCCTTTTCTCTACCTCTCACTTTCCATGTGCATAAAAGCAAATTACAAATCACAAAATATAGCTGAA